CTATTTATCCTCATCTAACTATGTCTGAATACAAATGTGTAAATCAACTATCTGCTCACCACTCATTGCGTGCGTCTGTCGTGGCGCGTCTTCGTTGGTTGATATAATGGCCTATATCAACCAATTAGGAACTACTCGTAAGTGCTCCAGAATATTTGTCCTCATGACAATTTTCTGAGAATATAACTCTCATAGTTATATTCTGTAAACAATTTCTTATAAATTGTTATGTAACGATTCACCTCGTTACAGCATTCGCCAGCTATATAGCGCTTCTTTATAAACGCGATAGTCACAGGTCCACTTATAGAAGAAATATAAGGTGATGTAAACTAAATCACTAGTAAGCTGGTGCTGATTCTGAGACAGGTGCTGATGATGAGACTTTTGGTCAATGGTGCTGATAGTGAGATTTACTAAACTAAGATCTCTCCTGTCTAATGGCTGAAATTAGTCAGCCCTTATAAGCCGATAAGATATTCTATACTTCTTTTCGTGGGAAATCATCCGTGTGTCTGAGACACAGGGTACCAAGTACCCAACGACGAGTAACTGTTTTACAGAGTAGAACAGAGGTATACAAATGTAGCTGATCGGTGAAAGTCCCACCCACATAAACGGAAGCAGTACGAGCAGAAGCACGAGCAAAGAAGAACAGGCAGAGATGCAGTAGAACAGAGGTGTACAAATGTAGCTGATCGGTGAAAGTCCCACCCACATAAACGGAAGCAGTACGAGCAGAAGCACGAGCAAAGAAGAACAGGCAGAGATGCAGTAGAACAGAGGTATACAAATGTAGCTGATCGGTGAAAGTCCCACCCACATAAACGGAAGCAGAAGCACGAGCAGAAGCACGAGCAAAGAAGAACAGGCAGAGACGTAGTATCACAGAGGTTTGCATCACGTAAGTTGCAGCTGCAGCCCTGAAAGATGAGACACATGGCAGTAATTTGAAGTAAAGAGCGAATTTAAGAAGGACAACGCTTATTCAGATTTTCGGAGGAATACTCGAATGAGGGACCTTTCGCGCATTTGTATACGACATACATTGTCTGTATTGAATTCCGGCCCTGCGGCCACAGGAAGTAGCAATCAAATATTTCTTCAGCTTTAACAGGTACGGCACATCCGATTGGCACGAGGGACCAGCTCACGCAATGCCAGCCGTTTCGTTTTTTCGGGTCGCTAGCTATAGAGGTTTGAACTAAAGCTCATTGCGCTATTTGCTCTTAACCGGAAAGATGCGTCTCGACTTTCTACTTCTTCTAATCTCTGCGTCCGCTGACCATGCGCTGTCGATCCGATCGTCCATGGGCCTAGTTGATCCAAGCGCCGTCACTCTCTCGTCTTCGGATTTCAACACTGAGAAAAGAGTCGCTCGTCAACTTCATCTACGTGAGGTCAAGGAGAACGAGGCCAGAGGTCTCCCCCAAGAACTAGAGTCAATGGTTCGTGTTGCTGTGAACAGCATAATTTCTGAAGAAGATTTCAAGTTTCTCTGCAAACATTTCGAGGATGAACGTCCTCTTGCCATTCTTCTGGACAAACACGGGGCGTCTATGAAGGTAGCTGATCAGTACCGTGATATGTTGGAGAGCCTTGTCCGCCCCGTAGCTTACGATCCACAAGCTAGCCTCTAAGTCATCCGTGGCGTCTGCATCAGTCTGTCATACTTGCAGCAGCTAATCAGCATCAATAACAATATCAGCTGGGTTTTAACCTTTCTCGCGCCTTTTCTTTCCATTCACTAGCCGTCCAAATTGTTCGTGGTGGTAGCGCAGTATAAAACCAGACATCCTTACAAGTATTCATGTGATTTGGTTGTGTTTCCCTGGTCAAAGATTTAGGGGAAACGTTGAACGTACCGGTCGTGAGTGCGTCATAGTGCCGGCGATTGTGTGGGCCATTAAAAACTACTTTTCCATCAATATCTGTTTTTACTCAGTCTAAATCTGATGAGACCATTCTAATTCTCAATATTTCGTCTAATTCAAATGTTTTATCGTATTTGCTTTTATGTAGGTCGCTGGAATGCGGCCAGATGCCAAAGCTGAGATAATAAAAGAAACGCAGAGAAGTGTTGTTGGACACATTCGAAAATCTCTTGTAAATTTTAACTATGTGCAGTACTATTATTACGGTGCACACAGCATTTGTCAAAGGCGTATTAATGCATTTCCATAAATGTTTATGTGTGTCGTTTTGCTTTCTATTCAAGCTAACGTCTGTCATTGTCCACACACATCAAAGAATCGTCTGTAAATGCCCATTATGTTGCATACCTCAACCTTGATTGCCTTACATCTGGCTGTTTTGACGGATTCGTGTCGTCGTTGTTGTCGTGGTCACTGTGAGTGACATTTTCTCGGACGAAATTATTGTCGACCGAATCATTCGTAATCCGTGCTGTAATGAACGTATTGTACGAATTTTTCAAACAGGTCTATCAATTATACTGTAAAGACTGCATTCACCATAATTGTAACGGGGTAGCCCGTTACATGATGTTGACAGCAAATGGTGTCAATAGGGAGATTGCCTAGCGTGCCAGTTCCATGCAAAATTACTCAAAATAAATGATATTGAAGGAATATTATCCCCGGAGTATAATATCCATGCGCTGATCAAGATTGGTTAATGCAAGACATATCAACCAAAGGTACAACTGATCGCCGCCAGAAGCGCGTACTGAGTGGTGAGCAGGTTGCCGTCAGACGACAATGTAAGTTAATATAGTTGGATAAAGACCGGAGTTATATTGATAGTTTAACTATATCAGATACAGTTCTCTTTTTACCCTCTACTCAAACTAGCAGTTTGAGTAGATCGGTTTCCTCTGCGCGTACGAGTGTACGCGAAGTTTCTTAGCACCCCAAATAAAAGGTCCTTGTTAGGACTTGTGTAGTCATTTCTACCTAAACCACGAATGATAGTTGAATGGCATGGATGTGTACGCATGAAACAAGTGTATTGTGCCTTTCGCGAGAAGTACTGGCTTATAAACTCCACTCTGTTTTGTTTTTGTTGACGTATGTTTTATCTCTGTGCTATCTCAACATTCACGTTGTGGCTCATTGCTTTCCTGTAACCGCCTTACAGCAAATTCGATTGAGATAGGGAAGCGCTCTGGACTCATCCCTGATATAATTAATTCAGTTTACAGCACTGAATCAATTGCAAAACATTATATAGCAGCAGTGACTGAAGAACAATTGGATGCTGTTAATTTTTGTATTAACCCAGTACAGAATGTTAGGACAACGTGATCGGCCTGTGCTCTTGAGCGTCTAGCATGTGCTTGTGTGATCGTATTCACCTTCGATCAATTTTAAGCCAATCATGTACGTTCGCCACAATAGTGACCTAGCTAGAGAGTGACTTCTTTTATGCTAACTGACCTATGAGTGGGGACAGGCTATACCGGACTCAGGAAGAGTAAGGTACACACCACTGCGCTATTTACTGACATACGCAAAGACAGATAGGTACAGTTTACAAATCCGGTATTCAAACTTGTGCACACTCACTGATAGCGTCAAGACTCGGGCTTGCAATAAATTCGAAGTAGCGTAGGTATCTCAAAATTATAATGGCGTCATTAGAAATGGACTGGGTACAATAGATTTTGATTGAAAAGGTTTTTGATTAGCCAGAACAAATGTGTACACACCCAGTTGACATGTTTAAATCAATCGTTTGCCACAAATTCATAATGTACATACATACAATTGTAAGTTGTATAATGATATATTTAGGTACGCGCCCACCCTTTAATACGTACACATTTATGGAAATGTCAAAAATATCAGTTGCCACAAGTTGTAACGTAATGCATAAAATTTAGGTTAACTATTCTCTATTAAACGAGCGAAGAATTTATGTAACGGGGCACCCTTTGTTTGGGGTACCACAAACTTCACGTGCACTAATACGTACAGAGGAAGCTAATCTACACAAATAGCTTGTTTGAGTAAAGGTAAAAATAGAACTGTATTTAATATAGTGAAGCAATCAATTTAGCTTCAGTCTTTATCTAACTATGTTAAACAACGTCGTCGCATGACGACAACCTGCTCACCACTCATTGCGCGCGTCTAGCAGCGATTGGTGGTAATCTATGGGTGATATGTCATTTATAAACCAATCGTTAAGCAGCGCTTGAATATAATCCTAGAAGGGAAACATACTCTGTAACGGGGTGAATCGTTACATAACAATTTATAAGAAATTGTTTACAGAATATAACTATAAGAGTTATATTCTCAGAATAGTGTCATAAGGACAAACATTCTGCAGCACTTACGAGTAGTTCCTAATTGGTTGATAGAGGCCATTATATCAACCAACGAAGACGCGCCACGACAGACGCACGCAATGAGTGGTGAGCAGATAGTTGATTTACACACTTGTATTCAGACATAGTTAGATGAAGATAAATAGTGATTTAATGCAGACATTAACTATACTGAATGTAGATCTACTTTTTACTTTAACCAAGTACTCGCTTCTTCTTACCGTCTTCCTCTGCACGTACGAGTGTACGAGAAGTTCCGAGGCACAGCCTTAGTCTGTCATCAGAATAAGTAGCTTGTACTGTCATCAGTACAAGCTTCAGGGTGCCCCGTTACACCTGGTAGCACTTCGTAGTCCGTCCAAGGAGCGCGTTCACATCCAACATGAATATGTTGGATGATGAAGATGACCAAAGCTTTCACGCTACGCGTGACGGCTACTCCCATTTGAGCGATGTCGAATGGGATGAGGTTAAATGGATGGGTTCAACCATGGGCATCCATGCTGTTAGCGTCATGCTAGAGGCTCTCAATAGAGATGCCCAACATGCTACTGTTGCCAAGTTCATTCGAAATGAACTTGACGCTGAACGCGAGAAAGTGTCCTCGCTTCACCAACAAGATTCTCAACAAGCAGAGTTGTTGAGAGAACAAGGTGCTCAACAGTTTGAACTGTTGAGATAGCAGCAGGCTGCTGCTGGCGGGTCGATGCACTCGCGTCGACCCGAGACCTTAAAGATTGACATCTCCAAGTATAGGGGAGTCGAAGAGGACTCCCTCTTGAGATGGTTCGTCGAGTTGGATGACGCCATAAGGGCGCGTCGCATCGACGACGGGGATATGCAAGTTGCATTTGCCCAGTCAAATCTGGCAGGACGTGCCAAGAATTGGGCACTGGGGCTCAAGTTGCACGACCCATATGCGTTTGGGTCGTTGGAAGTCTTCAAGTCGCGGCTCAGACACACGTTTGAACCGCCTAGAGCTGAGTTCAGAGCTCGAACCGAACTCTCGAAGCTCAAACAGGGTAAGCGTGATGTGCACGCTTACGCGCAACATATACGACATATCACGAGTTGTATAAGTTCCAATCCGGTTGATGAACACACGTTGGTTTCGGTGTTCATGCAAGGTCGTGCGGATAGTCCCGTCAAGACTCACATGTTCCGGCTTGAACTAGATTCACTAGAACAAGCCATTTCCATTGCGGAGCAGGAAGACTTCAGTCTGAGACAGGCTCGCGCCAGCTCGACATCATATCGTCAACCGAGACGATATGACAGCGGAGGTCCAGAGCCGATGGAACTCTGTTATGTAGAGAGCGAGAAGGCTCGCTCTACAGGCTACAAGAAGTTGCAGAGATGCAACAGATGTCAAAAGACAGGACACTACGCTTACGAGTGTAGTGCCCCTCGTCCAGTGTCTCGCAACACTGGGCGTATTGACCGTCCACCCATGAGAAAGGGGCAGGGACGCGGGTCCGCTGTTGGTGCGAAAACGCAACAACGGGATGGACCGTCAAAAAACGGACAGGATCAGTAGGTGCGGAGCACCCTACTGGTCCAGCAACGTCAAGAGAATTTGTAGGCTTCTTGGTGAAGGTTGCTCCCAGCACACAAACGTTGTGTGTTGCTGCTCTAGGTAATGAGGTCTCACTCATTACCTTGAAACTCGAAGTGACGAATAAGTTGTCCCTTCGAGCTCTAGTCGATTGTGGGGCGTCCAACAAATTTGTGCGACGCCAATCGCTAGAAGATGGTCACTTTAAATTCAGTGAATGTGACACACCTCCTACGAGGATGACGGTACATCTTGCGACAGGCGCATTCGCAACCGTCATGAAACGTTTAGTGAAGATCCACTATACGCTAGAAGATACCCAACATGACGATGACTTTATCGTATTGGATTTGGATGACTTTGATGTCATCCTTGGAATACCGTGGCTCAGAAGGTACGAACCACGGGTAAACTGGCAACATCGAACAGTAACGATGCCTGCCGCTTGTTCATCTGATGGCCATCTGATGAACGTTTTGGAGCGTCCACAAGCGTGTGGATGTACTACGAGTGAGTGCGATGGCCTCACTTGTGGTACGGTCGTTAGTACGACTGCACAAAACCTTAGTGTAACAAACGGTTACACTTCGGAGCAAAGTTCCGGCGGCTGTGAGGAAACACAGGCTGCGCCGAAGGTCCACCACTCGAATAAGTCGGGTGGACTGGGACAAAGATGTATCCCTAGCGGGGAAGATCTGGAAGAGAAACAATCGATCGCTCAGGTTAAGCGAAACGATAATCCTAGATCGACTGGAGAGTCTTTCGTAGAGGATCTCGCTGTGGTTGCGCAACCCCAGCTAGAGGAAGTAAAGGGAATAAGTCCCAAGATTACAGATACGGCGGAAATAAGTTTCCCGAAACCCGCGGGAATAAGTCCCCGGAAGCCGAAGGAATAAGTCCTTCGAAGCTTGAGGGAATAAGTCCCCAGGAAATGACAGAGACATTGAATGTCATAGTCAATAACGGATCAAGTGTAGGCGCTTATACACTTGATCTGATTGCGCCTCCGAAGTTAACTTCGGAGATCACTCAGTTGCCAACGCTCGAACATACAAGGTTCTTGCGTGATCTGCGTAGTGGCAAAGTCAAGCAGATCTGCGTACTCGTCGCTGACGACGAGTGTGTAACCGACATAAGGTCAGCAACAGTGTTCACTGAGAACGAGAGAGTTCTCAGTAGTTCATCTATGGACGAGAGTGTCCTAGATGAAAAGACACGAATTGAGCGATATGACTCCCAATCGTGGGAATCGCTCAAGACAAATCCTCTCTATGAAGATTTGGTTGAATTCAAGGATGTATTCCCTGAAACTGTTCCGTGCGAATTACCGAAGGGTAAAGGTACTCGAAACGAGGTCGAGCTTAAACCAGGCTCGAAGTACTGTGTCATGAAGCAGTGGCCACTGCCTCGTGAACAAGTACTTGCGATCGACAAGTTCTTTGCCGATCGTTTAGCTGCGGGCCATGTGAGGGAATCAACTTCCCCACATAGCTCTCCGACCTTCTGTGTGCGAACAGCAACAGGAGGGTGGCGGATAGTGCATGCATTTAACAAGTTGAATGTTGAAACGGTACCGGCTCAGAAGCCGATACCAGGGAAGGACGTCATCATAGATGGTATGGCAAAGAGTACCATCTTTTCGTCCATGGATCTGATGGATCGATTCGATCAGATCCTTATGCGAGAACGTTACATACCCTATACCGCAGTTAGCACGCCTAGCGGCATGCTCTGGGAATGGCTAGTAATGCCACAAGGACTCAGTAATGACCCTGCCACGTTCAACAGATGTGTATCACATCTGTTGAGACCAGTACGAGAATTCGCGCCGAGTTATTTCGATGACGTATTCATCCATAGTCGAGCTATGAATGGAAAGTCGGACGTTGAGGTTCACAGGTGCCACGTCCGACAAGTTCTTACAATCATGCGAAAGCATCAATTGTATGCTAACCTCAAGAAGTGTATATTTGCAGCAAGCGAAATACCACTTCTTGGGTGCATCGTTGATAAGAACGGTGTACGTCCTGATCCCCAAAAGATCAAGGCGATCACCGACTGGCCTGTGCCGGTTGATGTCAAAGGTCTTCGAAAATTCCTTGGGCTAGCGGCGTATTTGCATAAGGATTCACGCAATTACGCCGAGATGACTGTACAACTCTCTCGTTTGTTGAAAAAGAAACGAGAGGTGGTTATGGAACGCTGAATGTAAGCGCTCCTTTGATGGTATCAAGCAGAGCTTGATACAATCCCCAGTCCTAGCAATAGCCGATCAGGACAGGCCATTTCATGTGGTCTGTGATGCCAGAGATTTCGCAATCGGCTGTGCATTAGTGCAGTACGATCTTGAAGGCGTTGAACGCGTCGTCTGCTATCAGTCGCGTCAGCTGCAACCAGCTGAGCGGAGCTATCCAGTGCATGACAAGGAACTCCTTGCCATGAAGTATGCACTCGCGAAGTTCAGAGTCTATCTATTAGGAGATAGACCCTTCATTGTTTACACTGACCATGCGTCATTACGCACGGCAGTGAACAGCCCGCACCTTTCACAACGAATGGCGCGGTGGTTGTCATTCTTTGCAGAATACAACTTTACGGTCGAGTACAAACCAGGACGACTTGATGTCGTCGCTGATGCACTCTCACGTCGTCCCGACTTTACAACAGTCGTGAAACCCAACAATGAGACAGTCACTGTTGCGGTTATGACGTCCTCAGTCCCATCTACAACGTTTTATGATGATTTGAGGCGGGCATACGCCCAAGATGGTGAGATAGCGAAGTTGTTGACACATCTCTCACAGCCATCTCGAGAATCGTTGAAACAGTTATCGTCTGCGTATCGATCTGCATCAGATCGATGCACTACTCGCAACGGGTTACTGTATTATACAGCCGTTTCTGGTAACACACCACGTGTTGTCATTCCAGATGATACTGATCTGCGTTTGCGGATCATGTTCGAAAATCAAGATGCTCCTGTAGGAGGACATCGTGGCCGCGAGAAAACATATCTCACGGTAAGTCGATACTTTTACTGGCCCCGCCAGTATCAGTTTGTGCGAAAGTACGTTCACGCCTGCAAAGTCTGTCAACGAGTGAAGTCAAGTCCTTCACTTCGTGCACCTGTGGCCGTACGGGAGTCAATCACGGCAAGTGGCTGTGCTTGTGTCTTTATCGACACCATCTTCCGACTTCATGGGTTGTCCCGTGAACTCGTATCAGACAGAGATCCACGCTTCACTGCTGAATTCTGGCGCTCCGTGTTCAAATCACTTGGAACGCGCTTGAAGATGTCTACATCTGATCATCCAGAGTCAGATGGTCAGACGGAACGTGCCAATCGTGTCCTTGAAGAGATACTTCGAGGATACGTACACTCCTTTTAGACTTGGAGTGAGTTCTTGCCAATGGTAGAGTTTGCCATTAACAACTCGGTGCATGCGTCCACGACACATACACCGTTTTACGTGAATGGCTTACGCCATCCGCGTGTACCCACCTTACTCGAGTGTAACTCTGGTTTAAGGGGGGGGAGAGACTCGCGCGAGCAAAAACCGATTTGTATCATGCTCTTCACGCTCTGACGAAGAGGTCATTGCGTTTGATGCCGATATCGACAACATCGATATCGAAGAAGATGATGCCAGTGAGAGCGAGGAAGCCCTCACTGAAGAAAAGGTTGATGTTGCTGCAGTGCGCTCACAGCACACTGAAGCTAACGAGTCATCAGATGAGTTCATACTGGCTCATGAAACGGTAGTCCGTTTTGTGCAAGACTCCATCGCCGAAGCGGTGGATGAGCAAAAGCAAAACGCTGACAAGAATGGAAGGGCAAACACTCTTTTATTTAGTAAAGGTGACTTAGTCCTACTGTCTACGGTTGATCTACCAAAGCATGTAGTGACTAACTTGGGTAGTAGTAAACTACTACCCAAGTACATCGGCCCATTTCATGTATTGCACTGCCTAGGCAATGCATACACGATCGAGTTGCCACGTAAGATGCGAACGCATCCCACGTTTTACGTCGGTCGGCTTAAGCCGTACCATCAGTACGCTGCTTCTTCCGATGAAGAACGCCCTTGCGCTCAAGCATCTCGCAGAGAGCCTTGTGCTCCCGATGGTGGGCATCGACAAGGGTCTGGAGAGTAGTTATCTCATCCCGAGACCGATCAACAATCCCACGAGCTACCCTTAGCTCGTCACGAAGAGATGTCAGAGCTCTCTCGTTCTCAAGCTGAGCAAAGGCAAACTCAGCTCGATGCTTCGAGGCAGTGTCCGCCATTTGGAGACGCCTATTTCGCTCATGCTCGAGATCGTCGCGTAACCCTTGCGTTACGCGATCAAAGAAGCTCTCGGGAACACACCGATCCACATGATCGTGTGGAGAGCGTCTTTCCTCCTCCTTCACCTCCATTAGAGGACTCTCGCGGTGGCCAGCGCTATCTAGTTGAGCAGCTGTTGAACCACCGCGACGTGAACGGACGTCGGACGAGTTATCTCGTCCGGTGGCGCGGCTATCCCCCGTCCTAGGATACTTGGGAATCCTGATCCCAACTGATGGTTGACGTACTGGGTCTGGTTGAGCAGTACGACGCGACACATCCTGTGGCGCAGAAGGACCGCCGGAGAAAGTCTTCCCGGCACGGTCATAAAGGGATTTTAGGTTGTCAATCCATTCGTACATCTCACTAGAGACACGTACGCGCCACTACGGGCTGGTAAGGAGGTAAGCCTCCTTAGGTGCTCGTGCAGAGTTGTTCACACAATATGGGCACGAGTCTCCCCAAGAGAGGCAGGGTAACCCCTTCTCCCTTGACAGACGATGCAGCTTGTAGCGTGCACCTGTCGGGGTTCGCTTTTCAAACTTATCACGAGCTTTGATAATTTTGTCGTTCCAAGCGTCACGACCTACATCCTCAAGGTTACGGATGTAAGCGTTCCACGCTTGAAGCAGTAAGGGACCATCACGCTTGTGA